CTGTGAATACCACAAATGAACATTACATTTTTATTTATATAGATTATATTTCTTTAATAATCAGGCCAGAAGAGACACCCTACTAATGTGAAACAGTATAAAAGCCACAAGGGTTTACCAGCTCAACCACTGATCAAAAGGTCAGCAGTTTGAATCCAGGGTTCAGGGTGAGTTCCCATCTGTCAGCTCCAGCTTCCTTCGTGGGAACATGAGAAAAGCCTCCCACAGGATGGTAACACACCTGGGCCTCCCCTGGGCAACAGGGGTGCAATGGGTTAAACCCATGTGCCAGCAGGACTGAAGACCTACAGATAGGAGGTTCGATTCTGGGGAGAGTGCGGATGAGCTCCCTCTGTCAGCTCCAGGACATGAGAGAAACCTTCCACAAGGATGGTAAAACATCAAAACATCCGTGCATCCCCTGGGCAATGTCCTTGCAGACAATTCTCTCATACCAGAAGCAACTTGCAGGTTCTCAAGTCGCTCCTGACATTAAAACAAAACAAAACAAAACACCAACTCACAATTTGGCAACAGCCACACAAGTGTAGAGTAAATAATTATCATTAAACTTTATTTGTACCCCGCTAGCATCTCCCGAAGGACTCGATGCGGCTTACAAAGGCCAAGGCCTCAACACACAATGCAACAATACAAAACCTAAGGCAAATTAAAAACAATTAAAGCAATATAAACAACAAGCAATAAACAATACACTAAGACACAATAAAACTGGGCCGGGCCAGAGTAATGGGTACAGGATTAAAAGTGCTGATGTGACAGGTGGTATGTAGGATTATAGGGCAAGTGCAGTGTGCAGTGTGCAGCAATCTTAGTTTTAATAAAGTGCTTATGGGACTTGGTATTGGAGATTTCCTATTCTGGGAAGGCACATCGGAACAGCCAGGTCTTCAAGTTCTTTCTAAAGACTGCCAGTGTAGGGGCCTGTCTAAGATCTTTGGGGAGGGTGTTCCAGAGTCGGGGGGCCACCACAGAAAAGGCCCTGTCCTGTGTCCCCACCAAACATGCCTGCAACGCAGGCGGGATCACGAGCAGGGCCTCTCCAGATGACCGAAGTGAATGCGTGGGTTCGTAGACGGAGATGCGGTCACGCAGGTAGGATGGTCCCAAACCATTCAGGGCTTTGTAGGTAAGCACCTGCACCTTAAATTGGGCTCGGAAAATAAACGGCAGCCAGTGGAGCTCCTTGAACAGGAGGGTTGACCTCTCTCTGTAAGGGGCCCCAGTTAACATCCTGGCCGCTGCTTGTTGGACCAGTTGGAACTTCCGAGCCGTTTTCAAGGGCAGCCCCACGTAGAGCGCATTGCAGTAGTCCAATCTGGAGGTGCACCTTCAATATTGCATCTTACTTCAGTAGCACAATTGTGCTAGTGTGCCAATCTGTGATCTCACAATCAGACCCTTGAATGATCAGACTTCCGGACACCCTTGAATGATAGAATCATTGTAAGTCTGCCCTCCTGCATCACTCTCAACCTTGTGGTTCATTTTTAATTTCCACTGACCACTGACTGGGAGGCAACCAGCCAGACGCAGCTTCACTGTGTCTTATTTATTACATCTTATTTATCACTGCATCTTATTTAGATTATAAACCTGAGGGCAAATTAACATTTGGTAATCTGATCTGAAAGCCCTTCTGCCCGAAGAGTGGAATATCAATACTCTGAGTAACTATATTTTATTTTATTTTGAGCACAATTGTGCAATCCCTGCATTAAAAACAACAACAGAAACCTCCATACAATAAAAATAAAACAGTCAGTGGTCTGATGTCACATTACTGTTGGCACAGAAGTGGAAGGGACCCGTTGCAATGTGGCAGAAAGAAACTGTAGCAGGAACATAGCAGGATTGGGAGCAATTGATGAGTTTTACCCATCAAACCTTTACAATCCTGCTCAGTTGGTTGCCATCACCTACCTTTGTGCAACGAGTGGTTTCAGCTGCTGTTCTGACATGGTTTTGCCTGTCAATTGCTATGGAAGTAGGGGAAGCAAACCAAAAGTGGCATGCACCCAATGTTATGAGATAGAGAATGTCACAAAGGGTGGCAGACCAACTCTAATGCCAGCTTGCCTGCTTCATGTTATTTATTATTTATTATTATTATTTACCATATTTATATACCGCCCCTCTCAACCCGGAGGCGACTCGAGGCGGTTTACAGTTGGCAGTCAATGCCCCCAAACAACATAAATACAGTTCAAAACATTACATATAATATAAGCCATATAAAAGCTATTTACACACATAAATAACATCTGCCAGGTTCCAGCTGGATGGAAGATGGCAATAGTTGTCCCTGTTTACAAAAAAGGGAACAAAAAAGACCCTGGTTCCTAC